AAAAAACTGTCCTGTAGTATAGCTTTCTTCAATAGGGTAGTATTACATGCCAGTGAATGTTCCTTCAGGACGTTCATCACGCGTAGGTTTTTTCGACAGATATTATCAAAACATCAAACGTTTATTAAAAGAGCATTCAAAAAATCCACAAAATTTGTAGCTCATTGGACTGTGTGACAAGAATTTTTCGGCCGAGAAACCAGCCATCCCGAATTCCCTCACAAAAACTCGCTTACTTACTCCTCCTCGTCCCTCTCCACTGGATTCCTCTCCTCCGGGAGGTCTGCCGCTGGTGCTCGGCTCGGAAACGCCGAACACTCCTGAAAAGAAAACTAGAAGGGGACTTCGGGGCACCAACTACAAAAAAATAACTCCCTGGTATTACTTTCACAGCGCGTGCGCTATTTATTCTCCCTTCTCTACTCTTTACAAGTCCCACCTCTCTCTCTCTCTCTCTCTCTCTCTCTCTCTCTTTGTGTAGCCAAGTATTTGTATATCTCTGTATAAATAGATATATGGTTCCACTGTCCTCGAGGTGGATGTCCTGGGTTGAGCTACTCCTGGTCGTCCTCTGCTGGCCTTAACTTTTATTCGGTTGGCGATGACCCGTACCTAAATCTCTCACTCACACGCACACGCTCGCACACAATCCCACTTACACCTCTTGTCTCTCGACCTTTCTCTAGTGCCCTACACCCTGACACCACCTCTACCCACCACTACACCCCCTTTTCACGCCTACACACACTCACCCGCGCCCGCTCGGATCGTCCCAACACTATCCCGTATACCACCCGGTGCACTATTTACAGCACACTTACCTCCTGGTTATCCTTGCAGGGTACGACTACCTGGAACTCGTCTTACTCGTCGTGACGGCTCGGCCGTGCTCTCTGCCTCAGGCGATCTCCGTTGCTCTTGTCCGATGGTCTCTCGCAAATTCCCCTTTTTCCTAGCCTCAGCTGCTCTCTCGTTGCACTCGACTTTGACCTCGCTCTCCTCAATCCCTTCCTCTGCCCTATCACTTCCCTATCTCTCACCAATCCTTTTATTTCCTACTCTGCTCTGAAAATTCTCCCGTTGTGGTCTCGCGGATACTCGTCACAATTCTCGTTTTCTCTCGATCGTGGCTGCTACAATTCTCCTTGACTCTGCTCTCTCTCTGATGGCTCTCGCGGTACTGCTGCGTTATGGCAGTGCACTTTAACAGATGCGCGCGCCCCTCCTGTGTATACGAAAAATATCCAACATGCCTAAAAATCGGTAAATTATCGGAAGTTTCCAAAAACTAGGGAATTGACGCGGCCGCTTGGTGCTCACACCTCTCCGACGTGTNCATAATAAAACCGATGGTTTGCCCTTAAAGCTCTGACAATAATGAGAGTATTCATTAAGAGAAGTGATTTTTTTGCGATGGACAGAGAAGGAAAAAAAATTTTTGACTTATTTTATGAAAAAATAACTTTACTGCATTGTAATGTGTGAAACATAAAAAAGTACAATGATTTAAAGAAAAATTTCAAAGGAACTTTCGACAAAAAGTTATACGTTCAATTTCTCTCTTCGCATGAAAGAATAGTCTTGCACACGTTTTCCACTATTGTACACTTTTACAAATGTATACATAATGTCAAAAATAATTAGATTCGATATTTTATCTAATACATTAATTTGTAGGTCTTTTTATTACCTCTCAGGGATAAGTGACGCTTAGTAAATCTCAAAGTAAAGCAATTAATCCATTGTATTTTTCATACCTTACATATACATTTTTTTTTAAATGTAAAAAAACCTGTTGCCATAAAAATTTAGAAATTTATAAAAAAAGTCTCTTGAACACAGTTTAAGAAAACATTCTTAACGCATTGTTTGACTTTGTTTTGTATGTCTTAGTATGTTTAAAAGTTATCAATTTTATTTATCATCAGTATGATTCCGTATTATACTTGTTTTGTATGAATCAACGTTCTTTTATCAATCCATTTAAACATCACTACGGGACTTTTATTAACATAACGGCAGATTAAAACTTTAATGTTGAAATTATTCACTAATGTTAGCATTCTACTGTTTTTAATCAAAGTGGTCTACGGTAGGTAAGTTAACGATAACTTGCTTACGTACTACAAATTAAATAAAGAGTTAGATACGGCTACTTGTAGATGCGTTTTTTAATACAAACATGCAAGATTGAAATAGATCATTTTGATTGCCTCAGTAATATTTGAACTATGGTATTAAATGTTGTATCATGTAAAAGATCTTTTTCTTTAAAGATTAGAATCAAACAGTTGAAAATGTTTAAAATTGTATTTTTCGTACCCGATGATGAAAATCTTTTGGGTAAGCACCAAGTCCACGGGACTCCTTGTGCTTGCTCTGGCTGGATGCGCACTAGGTGTCAACTCTATTTTTCTTACTAAGGGCCCACTCAACGTTCTTATGTTAAAAAAGATGCCTTAAGTATGAAAAATATTTTTTCCTCCAACAGCACTCTATGAATGGTTTTAAATTGAAGAAGGAATTGGATAATAGTTCTCAAATAATAACGATACTGATGGTAAAGAAATTGGCTGTATTAAAAGTAATTGAATTGAAAACTTAACTAATGCACATATCCTACCAGAAGTTGTTTTTATATTGAGTATACTAGGAAATTTTACTTGAGCATAAATATCAATGATAAAAATAATAATAGAATTTTTATTAGTTTTGTAAGAGTTTCAACAGACAACTTGTGACAAGCATTGAAGACAGCAACAAACTTGAAGTTTATGACAGAAACATATTAAGAATAAACTTAGCAATAAAGTTGTGAATCAAATAGACATATATTTTCCTATATAATACAGTTATATGGTTTTTAAGCAACATCTAGTTTCTCTTCTCCTCAACTTCTTCCCAGCCTCTTATCTCCTTTCCTAAACAAGTTAATTTTCTTTTGTTTTACTTGTAAAATAAGCTCTAATAAGTACTTATTTAATCAACCACCGTTTTCCTCAGCCCCCATCTAACTTCTTCACCTTCACCTCAACTTCCCCTTAAATAAGTCAATTTTGTATGATGCTTTGTTTTGTGTCGTTTCTTATTTAGTCGTATTATTTCAAAGTGGTGACTAGCTTCTACAAAATAAGATTTTTTTTACCCATGAAATTTAACCCATTTAAATAGTTAATTGACCCCCAGTAAGAAGCGACCTCTATAACCTGTAACTAAGGAACTTACAGTTGGTACTATACTTAATTGTAATAAATTAAAATTACTAGTACGATTTAAAAAATATATAGTGTGCGTTTTGAGCCTGATAAATATATTGTTCTCCTTACACATTATCAATGTTAGATACAGTGTAATCAAAATCGATAAAAATAATAATAATAAAAATCTTTTTTTACATATTTGTAGAATAGTGAGATTATAATTTAAGTAGTGAAGTTTAACAATATATAATCAATATACATATTTTCATTCTGCATTTGTAAAAGGGTGTCCATTATTTACCAATTTTTTATTTTTTAGTCATACCCCCCCTTGAATTTCTTTGTTCTATCCTAAAATGAAAATTCATTTCTTGAAACTACAAAAATTCTCGTACTACCAAACACAAGGGGATTTTCCATTTGAAGATCATGGGATCCTAATATTTTTACTTTGCTCAATTTTTTAACTACCTAATAAAATTTTCTGGATTTTTTAACTATCAAAATTTTTCATACACTACTCGACCTTGTGATAAATTCTTTCAGCTCAAAACAACAAAGTTGAAAAAATTTAATTGTCACCATACCTCAGCTGAAAGACGACGTTTCTTTATTGATTTCAGGGACAAAAGCGAAAGATGTTTTTCAGGTTAGAACTCGCATTTAATGCTTATAAGACAATATTTTGCCTTAATCTGCATATGTTCCACTCTATTTTTCACTCGCCTTTTGTGTATGTGCGACATTTACCATACACAAGTACGATTGTACTGTAATCCTAAATCTGTTTTTAATGCTTTTCTTTCGAAAAGTATAGGAATAACGAATTGAACACGAAAAAGACAATTACAATCGTTTTGTTCTCAATTACTAGCTGAACTTATTAAATGCGTTATGCTGGTCGTCTTAGCCATATGCAAACAGGACTAAGTTTATAATACACTTACACACCATGTAATTGGAAGGTTGATTTAGTGCATTAAAAGATAGTATAGAAGATGAAATGAGAGCAGGTCTGGGCTTATCATCAATAAATCTAGAGTAAATTTATGTGGAAACTATTAGAGTCTTACGATATTAAATTCTTACACCTCATGCTTGCATAGGTATAGTACACCTTACATACACAGAATATTATAATATCATACGTACGACTTTACTACTAGCCCAAATCTGTACTTCATGGACTCAATTTTATAAATAAAGCAAAATAAGGAAAAAAAAGAGAATTAAACTGATTCCATTCCTGAACACTAGTTGAGCTTGACAATATGGTGTACTAGCGATTTTAGCTGTAGACAAACACACTGTATCAGCCTTCTCATCACATGATGTCTAAGCGTAATAGGGCAAGTATCAGTTGTGTTCGTCTATGGCTCACACTAATATCACGCTGTACGGATTAGTCAAGAACGAAACAAAATGAATTTTTTTTTTCATTTGATTTCTTACTGTCCTATGATTCTTAAAGTAAATACGTCAAGTACACACTTAGACTAAAAGCAAAATTATACTTGTGCTATTATATTTTTCTGTGCATATAAGGTATAGTTAAGATACGTGCATAATGTAAAGGAATGAAAAAGTGATAACCTTGTGATACTCTAATAGTTTCACTTCGCTAGTAGAATGTAAAAAGATTATCATCAAATTAATTAGTAGGTAAAATGATTGATAAATAATAACGTAATTTAATGCAAGCTTATTAATTCATAGAACTGAAAAATTTATTCTATCCTTTAAAAGTACAGCCATTTTGAAATCTAATTGTTAACTGAACTGAATACTTTTTATTATTAGATGTGGACAATAGAGTATGTTCAAGTGCCAGATAAGATCAACGAAAAAATAAAAACTACCATTAATACTCCAATGAAAGGTGATAGAAATAGTCATAACAAGGAAGAAGTCACTGTAAAACCAGTTTGGGAATACGAAGAACGAATCGGCACATCAAAGAAAGAATTAGGTTTGTTCATCAAAGTAATTATAAAAATGCCAACGTTTTGAAGCTAAAAAATAATTTCTATTTTACCTTGCTTTTTAAGGAATTTTATCTAAAAGTGGATCTGAAAGTAGTTTATCAGAATCTGATAGCTTACAAAAAGTGACACAAATATGTCATGAGGAAGAACAGTATTCTAATAATAGTTCAACCCATGAACCTAAACAAAAATTTCATTTTCAAATTAATTCATCAAGTATTGTTTTAAAACATAAAAGCCGTGAGAAGTTACTCTTCACAAAAAATCATACACAAACTGACAGTGGGGAGGTCCCAATGAGGTAGGTAAAATATTAGATTTACGTATATTTAATAACTCAACCCTCATTTTCTTATATTATTAACTAGCTTGTATAAAAAAAATTTCATAAAGTCTTATAGTCTCCTGAACATAATAAAACCGATGGTTTGCCCTTAAAGCTCTGACAATAATGAGAGTATTCATTAAGAGAAGTGATTTTTTTGCGATGGACAGAGAAGGAAAAAAAATTTTTGACTTATTTTATGAAAAAATAACTTTACTGCATTGTAATGTGTGAAACATAAAAAAGTACAATGATTTAAAGAAAAATTTCAAAGGAACTTTCGACAAAAAGTTATACGTTCAATTTCTCTCTTCGCATGAAAGAATAGTCTTGCACACGTTTTCCACTATTGTACACTTTTACAAATGTATACATAATGTCAAAAATAATTAGATTCGATATTTTATCTAATACATTAATTTGTAGGTCTTTTTATTACCTCTCAGGGATAAGTGACGCTTAGTAAATCTCAAAGTAAAGCAATTAATCCATTGTATTTTTCATACCTTACATATACATTTTTTTTTAAATGTAAAAAAACCTGTTGCCATAAAAATTTAGAAATTTATAAAAAAAGTCTCTTGAACACAGTTTAAGAAAACATTCTTAACGCATTGTTTGACTTTGTTTTGTATGTCTTAGTATGTTTAAAAGTTATCAATTTTATTTATCATCAGTATGATTCCGTATTATACTTGTTTTGTATGAATCAACGTTCTTTTATCAATCCATTTAAACATCACTACGGGACTTTTATTAACATAACGGCAGATTAAAACTTTAATGTTGAAATTATTCACTAATGTTAGCATTCTACTGTTTTTAATCAAAGTGGTCTACGGTAGGTAAGTNACTTAGTACGTTTGTAAGTGGATTAATTATTTTTTATTACTATTATAATTTATAAAATTTAAAATGTATGGCGTGGCTTCATGTGGTGTAGCGGAAACCGTAAGTACGTTATGGGGGGCGAGGCAAAGGGGGAGAATCAAGAAAAATCCATTTTCGTCTTACTTTTTCCCTAGGTCAGAATCTAAAATCGTTGATTTACACTCGCGCATAACGTGCCTGTAGATGTATAACTTCAATTATTATTAGAATTTGACAACGTTAAAATTCATTCTTTGAACGAAATCCAAAAAGAAAATTATAGAAAAATGATTTTATAAATAGTGATAGTAATAAATCTTTCAACATTAAACAAATTTTTTTAGAAAGAGATTTTTTACAAATTTCTTTTGTCATTGTAAAAAGTGGCAGAAGTAGAATAATACTACAAACAATAAGATTTAACGTATATGGCCATCACTTGAAGTTTTAATATTTAGTGATTATATTTTTTTAGAGGATTCTAAAATCTTAAAATAATTATCAAAAATAGAAATTGAGAATTTCGAGCCATTTAGTTTAAAAAAACGCTATCAAATAATAAATGTTTTTACATATTTGTAGAATAGTGAGATTATAATTTAAGTAGTGAAGTTTAACAATATATAATCAATATACATATTTTCATTCTGCATTTGTAAAAGGGTGTCCATTATTTACCAATTTTTTATTTTTTAGTCATACCCCCCCTTGAATTTCTTTGTTCTATCCTAAAATGAAAATTCATTTCTTGAAACTACAAAAATTCTCGTACTACCAAACACAAGGGGATTTTCCATTTGAAGATCATGGGATCCTAATATTTTTACTTTGCTCAATTTTTTAACTACCTAATAAAATTTTCTGGATTTTTTAACTATCAAAATTTTTCATACACTACTCGACCTTGTGATAAATTCTTTCAGCTCAAAACAACAAAGTTGAAAAAATTTAATTGTCACCATACCTCAGCTGAAAGACGACGTTTCTTTATTGATTTCAGGGACAAAAGCGAAAGATGTTTTTCAGGTTAGAACTCGCATTTAATGCTTATAAGACAATATTTTGCCTTAATCTGCATATGTTCCACTCTATTTTTCACTCGCCTTTTGTGTATGTGCGACATTTACCATACACAAGTACGATTGTACTGTAATCCTAAATCTGTTTTTAATGCTTTTCTTTCGAAAAGTATAGGAATAACGAATTGAACACGAAAAAGACAATTACAATCGTTTTGTTCTCAATTACTAGCTGAACTTATTAAATGCGTTATGCTGGTCGTCTTAGCCATATGCAAACAGGACTAAGTTTATAATACACTTACACACCATGTAATTGGAAGGTTGATTTAGTGCATTAAAAGATAGTATAGAAGATGAAATGAGAGCAGGTCTGGGCTTATCATCAATAAATCTAGAGTAAATTTATGTGGAAACTATTAGAGTCTTACGATATTAAATTCTTACACCTCATGCTTGCATAGGTATAGTACACCTTACATACACAGAATATTATAATATCATACGTACGACTTTACTACTAGCCCAAATCTGTACTTCATGGACTCAATTTTATAAATAAAGCAAAATAAGGAAAAAAAAGAGAATTAAACTGATTCCATTCCTGAACACTAGTTGAGCTTGACAATATGGTGTACTAGCGATTTTAGCTGTAGACAAACACACTGTATCAGCCTTCTCATCACATGATGTCTAAGCGTAATAGGGCAAGTATCAGTTGTGTTCGTCTATGGCTCACACTAATATCACGCTGTACGGATTAGTCAAGAACGAAACAAAATGAATTTTTTTTTTCATTTGATTTCTTACTGTCCTATGATTCTTAAAGTAAATACGTCAAGTACACACTTAGACTAAAAGCAAAATTATACTTGTGCTATTATATTTTTCTGTGCATATAAGGTATAGTTAAGATACGTGCATAATGTAAAGGAATGAAAAAGTGATAACCTTGTGATACTCTAATAGTTTCACTTCGCTAGTAGAATGTAAAAAGATTATCATCAAATTAATTAGTAGGTAAAATGATTGATAAATAATAACGTAATTTAATGCAAGCTTATTAATTCATAGAACTGAAAAATTTATTCTATCCTTTAAAAGTACAGCCATTTTGAAATCTAATTGTTAACTGAACTGAATACTTTTTATTATTAGATGTGGACAATAGAGTATGTTCAAGTGCCAGATAAGATCAACGAAAAAATAAAAACTACCATTAATACTCCAATGAAAGGTGATAGAAATAGTCATAACAAGGAAGAAGTCACTGTAAAACCAGTTTGGGAATACGAAGAACGAATCGGCACATCAAAGAAAGAATTAGGTTTGTTCATCAAAGTAATTATAAAAATGCCAACGTTTTGAAGCTAAAAAATAATTTCTATTTTACCTTGCTTTTTAAGGAATTTTATCTAAAAGTGGATCTGAAAGTAGTTTATCAGAATCTGATAGCTTACAAAAAGTGACACAAATATGTCATGAGGAAGAACAGTATTCTAATAATAGTTCAACCCATGAACCTAAACAAAAATTTCATTTTCAAATTAATTCATCAAGTATTGTTTTAAAACATAAAAGCCGTGAGAAGTTACTCTTCACAAAAAATCATACACAAACTGACAGTGGGGAGGTCCCAATGAGGTAGGTAAAATATTAGATTTACGTATATTTAATAACTCAACCCTCATTTTCTTATATTATTAACTAGCTTGTATAAAAAAAATTTCATAAAGTCTTATAGTCTCCTGAACATAATAAAACCGATGGTTTGCCCTTAAAGCTCTGACAATAATGAGAGTATTCATTAAGAGAAGTGATTTTTTTGCGATGGACAGAGAAGGAAAAAAAATTTTTGACTTATTTTATGAAAAAATAACTTTACTGCATTGTAATGTGTGAAACATAAAAAAGTACAATGATTTAAAGAAAAATTTCAAAGGAACTTTCGACAAAAAGTTATACGTTCAATTTCTCTCTTCGCATGAAAGAATAGTCTTGCACACGTTTTCCACTATTGTACACTTTTACAAATGTATACATAATGTCAAAAATAATTAGATTCGATATTTTATCTAATACATTAATTTGTAGGTCTTTTTATTACCTCTCAGGGATAAGTGACGCTTAGTAAATCTCAAAGTAAAGCAATTAATCCATTGTATTTTTCATACCTTACATATACATTTTTTTTTAAATGTAAAAAAACCTGTTGCCATAAAAATTTAGAAATTTATAAAAAAAGTCTCTTGAACACAGTTTAAGAAAACATTC